GCTTTAATCTCAAGTGTATGCCCTACGCAGTGAACGAAAACGTAAGCTCGGTTGAAAAAACGTGTAGTTTCATTGATGCAAGGAAGAGGTAAGTACAACATTGCCTAGGGGACTCTTAAGGGGTTGGGACCATCCTGGGAACTCAGAGAAGGTTGAGTCCTAGGGGAGAAAGGCTAGAGAAGAATGGGAAACGTCTTAGCTAGGTCAGCAAAGCCAACCACACTTGGATGTTCATAGCTGTACTCAAGGCTACCAATAGTGAGTCAAGCCAACCATGAGTCAGCTTGTCTTCCCACTTGCACCCTCTTGCAATCTGCTTCCAAGAAGACCACACTTCTCAAAAGGAGGGTGGTAGAGTCCCACTTGACTACCTGTATTTCTTGTCTCATTCTCTGTCCCTGCACCATTGGCATGACAACAATGAAAGGGTGGCAAGGGAAATGCTGCCAACAGTGCACCATGACTACGGAACAGTAACTTTCGACAGCTGTCACGTGCTGCTCCGATTCTGGGTTGTCCTGAAACTCGGTGACCACCTGCACAACACGGCAAAGGACTGCCACACCGATTTTCAGACCAATCAGAGCTTGGTAGATGAGTCAGCAGCCGAAATGGTGAACTCGGGTGTTACCAAAAAAGAGTAACACACACTTCCGGGATGCCATAAGTCTTGAAAGTAAAAAATGTTGCCATGCCTTGTAAACTGCTTCAAAAATTCTGAAACTTTGAGGGTCTGAAGAACACATGTTGAAGCACCTCCCCACAAAATTCCAGAAGCTGAACAGGCTTGTAGGCTGAATGGGAGTGCGATGACCGTGCCACTATAGTGCTTTGGCACAACAGAGACACCTCCGAGTTTTCCGCCTCGGATGTCTTCGCCTCCTCTGCAGCCTGACGTTGTGGACTTCGGGGGCCTAGGTGTGGTTGGGGATGGTGACGCTGAGGGTGCTGGCTTTGGGGGTACTGGTTTAGGAGGTGCTGGTTCTGGGGGTGCTGACTCTGGGGGTGCTAGGGGTCCTCTTGTAGGTGGAGTTGGAGGTGTTGGTGCTGCTGCTGGAGGTGTTCCTGGGACTGGCGGTCCTGGTGTTTGTGCTAGAGGTGCTGGGTCTGGGGGTGTTTCACAGTCGCTACCGCGGCAGCCTATCTTCTTGGAGCAGCCGTCGTCGTCGCTACCTAATTCGGCGCTTCACCACCTTCTTCGCCTCCCGCCTGCCTCTGCTAAGCCGACGGCCCCTTGTACTCCTCCTCCTCTGTTGTTTCCTGCCGTTCCTGACCCTGTGTATGTCCTTGCTCGTGCTGCTAGCCCAACTATCCCTCGTTGTCTAGCCGCACATGTGACTGCACATGCTTTTTCGCCTGCTACTGCTTCTGCCTTCGTAGCTGAGCTCGCTGGCTTTGCCGCTCCTTGCCGTCGTGCCTACCTTGCGGGTCTTGTTTCTGCCTCTTCGTGTCCTCCGTCCGTCGGGGGTGAGCCAGCCCTTGGCTGTGACGTCCTTGAGGACAGGCAGTTCGAGCTGGAGTACTTGCCGTACCCTCTCAGCATCCGGACTCGCTACGTTACGCCCGAGCATTGGCGGGCTGCTAGGAGGGTGCTACGCTACTTGGTCAGACTCGCGAGGAGAACGTAGCACTGTGCACTTCGTTCCTTTCCCGTATGAGCGTTGCAGCAGCGTTCTCAGCTCCGCCTTTTCTTCAGTGGCCTCCCAGGCCGATAATTTTGCTCTCTTCATGCGTACACTTGCTAGGTTGTGATAATTGTATTTCTTTCGTTGTTATCACACTGCATGTGAACTGGCCTTGTGGCCGCTTGTTTGTGCTCGGACTGTGTGGTGATCTTGAGATCCACCTTGGGCTTTGCTTTGTTGCTTCTCTTGACTGGTCTTGTGACCATTGCTTTCTCTGGCTATCCCCCACTTCGCCTATGGGGATGTGTCAAATTATATGTTTACTGTTATCTAGGCTGTAGTGGGTTTAGCCTTAGGGGGTACAATAAGTTGCTCGACACTTCATTGTATCCCCCTCCTTGCCCTAATCCACCTCATTCCTGTCAGAATGTTATTCTCTAGCCTGTAGTGGGGTGCTCTATAGCGAGTACAACCCATCTAGGGTTTGCTATATGTATCCTCATTGCTGCTAGTGAACTCCCCTCTTTTGCCTAAACTTCTCTTGCCTAGCTAGGACTTACCTAGCTATGGCTCCTAACTCTACCTACTATCTTCACATGGTATCAGAGCATCTACGCTCCTGGCCTGTGGGCCCACCTAACTGCTTCCGCTGCTACTCTGTGTGTTGCACGCCCCGTGGCGTGCGACGGATTTCTCTTCCCGCCGCGCGCTCGGAGCGTGCGGCGGTTTTCTGCCCGCCGTGCGCCCCGAGGCGCGCGGCGGTTTTCTGCCCGCCGTGCGCCCCGGGGCGTGCGGCGGTTCTCTGCCCGCCGTGCGCCCCGAGGCGCGCGGCGGCCTTCTGCCCCGTCGGTCCGCGCGTCGCCCCCGGGGGGCGCTTCGACGGGCGACGGGGACCAGCCCGTCGTCCCCCGTGGCCCGTCCTGGCCAGCGCGGGCTGCGCTAGCCCCGAGCGCGGCCCGTACGGGCTGCGCCCGGCCCGCGCGCGGCCCGTACGGGCTGCGCCAGGCCCGCGCGTGGCCCGTACGGGCTGCGCCAGGCCCGCGCGCGGCCCGTACGGGCTGCGCCAGGCCCGCGCGCGGCTCGGGCCGCCTGCGCGCGGTTCGTCGGGCTGTGCCAGGCCCGTGGGCGGCCCGTTCCTCTCTGTCCCTGAGCTGTTCGCTGTCCCCCGTGCTTCTGACGGTGCCCCACCCCTGCTGCTGCCCGTTCTCCTGAATTAGGGTTTGGGGGTGAGGAGTGTGGGGGTGGCGGTTGTGTGTTACTCCCCTTGCTCCTCCTCCTCCCTGGTCTCCCACTGCTGCAGCTGCCGCTGAGGGGGGTGGGTGTGTGGGAGCCTAGGGTTTAGGGTTTTAGGGGGGTGCGTGGGAGTGGAGCTAGGGTTTGAGCAGTGGTTGTGTGTCGAGGGTGTGGGGCAGTTGGAGGAGGTTGTGTGGAGGTACCTGTCGTGTCGCCTGCAGCGCCTGTAGTCCGTCGCCCTTGCTTCGGTAGCCAGTGAGCCTGCTGCACCAGTCGCCAGTGGGTCCGTTGCTCCTGCCGCTCTTCTATAGCCGCCAAGCCAGTTACTCCAGTAGTCCGTCGCCCTTGCTTCGGTAGCCTCTGAGTCAGCCGCTCCTGTGCCCGTGCCTCTGCAGCTTCAGTCGTTGCCTCCCATCTTCTTTACCTCCACAGCTCCTCCTCCTCCTCACTTGCCCGCTGTGATTAGCTCTAGCTTTGCTTACCTTTGTGAACTCCTGCTCTATACCTGCTTGCTCATTGTACTGATTACACCCCACTTTGGCTATGGGGGTGTGTCAGAATGTTATTCTCTAGCCTGTAGTGGGGTGCTCTATAGCGAGTACAACCCATCTAGGGTTTGCTATATGTATCATCATTGCTGCTAGTGAACTCCCCTCTTTTGCCTAAACTTCTCTTGCCTAGCTAGGACTTACCTAGCTATGGCTCCTAACTCTACCTACTATCTTCACAATTCCTTCCTACCTATCTCAACAATCTGACGCGCCGCTCGCACGAAATGTGCACACGAAGGCTGTTTTTCGTTACGAATATAAGACCCCCACCTCCCCAAATACAGTCGTACACCCTACATAACAGATTGGTAGCTGATAAATAAGTGTACCCCAAGTCTTCAAAAATTGCTGCCGCCATAATGTCCACCCAAACATATTTTTAAGCATTTGTAGAGAGTCCCCCGGGTCTTATAGCCGGAACTATACGGTATATCAGACACAGAGACAAAAAAAAAAATCTGATTCATCAGAAGGGCCCGAAGGGAAACCCTAACGCATCAGGCACCCTAAAGTCCTAGCGCGGACTCTGGGCCGAGCGACGATGTCAAGCACGTGCGCGGCTTCAATGGGGCGCTGAAGGGCATCCAAGGCCGCGGCACCGTCACCCTCGGCGGCGACGAGATGCTGCTCGTCTCGGCGGCGGGGGATGTGCTTGGTCGGGCGAGGTACACCGGCCACTGGCACTACGGACCATCGCCACGGCGACGAAGCACGATAAGGAAAGATGAAATTTCCTTACAATGGGGGTGTGCCAAACTCTTATATCATAGTTAGTTATGCTGGTCTATAGTGAGTTGCCCTTTAGAGGGTGCAACACTTTTAGGTTGTACAGCCCTTAAAGCCCGCGTCCCAAATTGCGGGCCGCGAGGGTCAAGTTTTTAAAACTTGACGAAGTTGAGTGTCCAAGCTTTTGAAAGTCACGCACTTGCAATTTGGGACTTTCGAAGACAGATTCACTCACCAGGGGGAAAACCGAGGGTTGGCTGGGTCTCGCGAAAAAAACGAACCTAGACGAAATCGGAAACTCTCGCCAAAGCCCACACCAGAAAAACTCCCTCTGGTCAACTTTTAAAAGCATGAACAATTTGGGCCGCCGGCTTTAAGACTCTTTGTCTCTCTTTAGTCACTATTTCACTCACATTCCTCATTCAGTGCAACACTGTTCATTCCTAATAGCATGCAGAGATGCACAGAAGCGCTCGCGCGCACGCACGCATGCCAAACACAAGGAAATATTATCTGGCAAATGTGAACCTTTGGATTGAATGTTTGGTGGCTTTTCCTTCCACTACCTCATGATTCGCAAAGAGAGATTGCTGCAATACACACATTCTACAGGCATGCATTCCCGCATGGATTTGCATGCTGGGTGGCTGGCAGGTTGAAGAAGCTATCATAAAAGCAGCAGCAGCAACAAGGCAGCAACTGCACATCCGGCGCGGAAGAGCGGCACGACGACACAGCAATTGTGAGAGCCTGCGCACAGGCAGAACGGAAATGGTTGGATGGGCGTAAGGTATTGGTTTGTGCGACAGTAGCAAGCCCTTGTGGGAAGATGCGAGTACCGTATTATGCTGAGCTGAAATGAACCTTAAGCACATGTCCCACAAGTGAAACAGCGTGCACATGCGGCTACAGCGAAACAGCTGGATACACGAAATGTGAATGGAAAGAAAGAAGCAGTGAGGGAAAAGAAACAGGGGACAGTATTCGATGTTACCTTTCCATACTGAAGCTGACCCTGAAACACACACACACACACACACACACACACACACACACACACACACACACACAGGGTGGGAGAGGAGATTCACCACGGAGAGAAGGGAGCAACGAAGATAGAGGATGAGATTCGCATGTAAGAAGACAATGGTGTGGCTGGAAGAATAGAGGAGAGAGGAAAGGCAAAAACACAGGCGAGCAAACAGGAGCATGACATTTGAGTCGCCTCAAAAGTCAACTCGGTGTGAAAGGCACTGCGATACCACACCAAGCAAGCCAACTGAGACAAAGCCCAGAAGCAATGGGGATTGTAAGGGCAAGAAAGGACAGCAAGAGATAAGGACCAGGTGCAGTTGGGGTAGAGCAAGCTGGTAGAGAAAATAGAGAGGACAGCAGGACGCGAGGGGGAGAAGGGTGGCTGGTGAAGGGGTGAAAAGAGCGAAAGAGAAGGACGAAGCACTGACAGGGCGCAGAGGAGTTGGAGGAGTAGTTGGAGGGGGGTGCTGGGGTTGCAGACACAAGAGGGTTCGCCCACGCAGGCAGCAACGAGGCAGAGGAGGGCGGTGCAGCGGCAGCGGTGGGTGGAGGGGGCTGCAGATAGGTCATGTCGGCAAAGGGGTCTCGCGTGTAGTTGAATGTCAGGTACTCGCCCGATGAACCTGCGAGTGGGGGCGTGGGGGAGAGGGGAGTTGGGTGGAGGGGAGCGGTGAGGGAATGGGGAAAGGAAGGGCGTTTATGTGAGGGGGGGGGCTTAGCGGGAGGGAGAGTTTAGCATGGGGAGGAGTGTAGGCAAGCAGCATGGCGGCTGGATTTGAAGTGTGCACGGAAGGAGAGTGGTGTGCATGTGTTCGGCAGGGAAGGTGCGGACAGATGCACAGTGGGCGGCGAGGCAATTCATCCGTGCAGGTCGTGCAGGTTGTAGAGTGGAGGTGGTGCTGTGTCACGGTATGACATCGAAGTAAGTACAAACGAACAGATGAGAAGTAGAGCAGGTGGTACTCAGTGGTGTGCAGTGGTTGCACGTACTAGGATGGGACGAGCGAATGGGAGGCAGGGCGAAGAAGGGGAAGATGACAGAGCGAGGGAGGGAGGGATGAAGGTGGGGAGGGCAGAGAGGGCAGGAGAGGAGAGGTTACAGTTGAGAGGAGCCCATCCGAGCTGCTTCTTCTCGATGTCAACGGAGATGTACGTGTCCTGTACCCATGTCTCTGATGCACGCACACACACACACACACACACACACAGAAGATTACACAAGCACGTGTCAGCACAAACAAGCACACACAACCAGACATGAGACCAATCGCAAAACGCTCCGTGCGCACCCACTCCCCCTCCCATTCCCCCTCCCACCCCCCCTCCCTCGCCACGAAGTACCCTCCTCCCCGGCAGCGAGCACGCACCGCCAATGATGACGGAGACGGGGAAGTTGTCGGGAGCAGCCATCATGGTGGCGCAGTAGTACTGGTCAAACCCATCGTCCTGGGGGGAGGGCGGGGTGTGCGCGTGTGGGGTTGTAGGGGTGCGGGGGGGAGTGAGAGGTGTCACCTCTGAGTCGACTCACAAGTCATCACGGTGGCGCAATGGTACTGGTCGAATTCGTCACCCTGGGGGAAGAGCGAGGGGGGAGGGGAGAAAAGGGGAGAGGGGATGCAGGAGGGAGTGCGAGGGGGGGGAGGGGGGGAGTGGAAGGGAAAGGGTGTGTGGGAGGAGGAAGGCACGGGTGGCACAGTGGTAGTGGTCGAACCTACTGTGCTGGGGGGGGAGTGTGGGGGGGTGAGAGGGGGACAGTGGAAGGGGATGAGGTGAGCAGGAATGCAGTGCGGGGTGGGGGTAGCACATGGGAGAGCGAACGATAGGGCAAGTGGACAGAAGAGAAGATGGCAGTGAGGGATGTTGAGAACAATGGTGTGGAGCAAGGGTGTGGGTACGGTTGATGGTAAGAGTGATGGCGAGAGAGCGCGCACGAGAAGATGCGTCCGTGGTGGCAGGGGGGCAAGGAGCAGGGGTGTGAGAGTGTGGGGTGTAAGAGTGTGGGGCGTACGAAGCGGCTGAGGTAGTTGGAGGAGGGGATGCTCCACACGGCCCCGTCTGCCATCTCCATGTGGATCACCGGGAACGCTGGTGGGGCGCCGTCACTGGTGGTGGGGGCACGCACACACGCACGTGTTTTTTGAGAATTGTCGTGTGTTTTTTGAGACATACACACGCACACACACACGCACACGCACGCACAGACGCATGCAGAAATTAACCCATGCGTGGATGCACAAAGAAGCATCTAGAGGCGCACACCTCTCTCCTTTATGTCACCGCGCCCTGCCCCCATCCCTGTTACTCCCCGGGCCCCCCTGCCCCCCTGGCGGGGAACTCACAAGAAGCCGAGGACGATGCAGTCGAGGTTGAGCTCGGGCACGAAGAACACCTCCTGCCCTGCGAACACCTGCCAGGCACTCGTGCACATCACGCACACATCACGCACACATCACGCACACATCACGCACACATCACGCACACCCACACACAAGCACGCGCCCACCGGGGGGAACAAACGGTCCAAAGGGGGAAGCGAGCAGAGGGGGCATAGAGGACATGGCCACAGGGGGGCACAAGGATGCAAAGGTGAGGGAGGCGGTGGAGAGGAGGAGCATTTCGGAGGTGCAATGCAGAGACGTGGGCGTACAGGGGCGGGATACACAGCAGTCAAGTCATTGTGCTGTTGTTGCTGTTGCTCCACTCCACGCTCCAACCCCCATGACAATCCATGCTCCCCCTCCCTCCCCATCCCCCTTATCCCCCTCCTCCACTCTTCCCCCACCCTCTTTCCCCCACCCGTCCCGCTCACAAGCCCCATGCAAGCCTCGGCCTGCCGCCCACTCACAGCCTGTAGGATGGACACATAGACGTCGGGCGGCAGGATAGTGAGCGGCGGGCTCTTGCGCTCTGCAACACCCAACCTCCCCCAGTTCCCGCCCTCGTCCCCCCTGCCCCCACCCCACCCCCACCCCCTCCCCATCCACGCCCCCCCTGACGCGCACTCACAGTGTGCAGCACGGAGGCGTAGAGGTCGGAAGGCAGGATGGTGAGCGTCGTGCCCGAGTCCACTATCACCCCGCCCCTGCTCTCCACGGCCCCCGTGCTACCCCCCGCTCCCTCTGCGCCCTGCGTGGCGTTGGTGGGTGCGAGGTTCTCGCTGCCGGGCAGAGTGGCGCCCTCGACGCTCATGCGCACCACGTCTATGAAGTAGAACGGGCTGCCCGCACAGGCGAGTGGTGGGAGAGAGGGATGGAGGGGTGGGTGGGAGGGGCAGGGAGAGCAGAGGGGGGAGAGAGGGCATGGGGGAGCAGCGGGAGACAGATGAGGGGGGGCGAGTGGTGCGTGTAACAGTGGTAGATGTGGGATGCGAGCACATGCACGAGAACATAAACTTGTTCGTTCCACGCACCTCCCCCACCCACCCCACCCCTGCATGCTCCCATCGTCGCACCTCCCACTCCCACTCTCCTCTCCACGCCCTCCACCCACCCCACTCTGCCGTCCTCAGCGTACCGATCGTTGGGCAGGAGGGTGGTGGAGCGCAGAGCAGGGGGCGGCGGCGTGCGGCCGAGCACGAGGTGCGAGCCGGTGTCGTTGGCGGAGTCGAAGCAGAAGGAGAAGGCGAAGGGCACGTGCCCCGCCGTGTACAGCTGCGTCAGCGGCGAGATGGGCCCCACGCCCATGCCCATCAGCCCGTAGATGTAGCTCGACTTGGCCAGGTTCCCCGCCTGGTTCTGCCCGCACCTGCGCGCGTGGGGGGACGGGGGGAGAAGGGAGGAGGGGGAGGGGGGACGTGTTGGGAGGAGGTGAGGCAGGAGTGTGGGGTGGGAGAAGGTAGGGGGTTAGGAAGGGGATGGAGAGGGAGGTGCAGTGAGGGGTGGGGAGGTGGGGTGGAGGAGGGGAGGAGAGGCGCATGGAGTGGGCAGTGGGAGGAGAAGTAGCAAGGGCGGCAGGAGAGAAGGGAGCGGACACTAAGGGTGAGGTGCAGGGGCTGCAGCAAGCAGCACGGAAAGGCATGAGCCATGGCTTGGCATTGCAAGCACAGAATGCGGCAAGGCAGCACGGATCGCGGCAGGGCAGGGCAGGTGAGAGGGCGGACCCAAAGAGCATCTTGTCCTTGACCATGCCATCGGCCACAGTGGGCAGGTCCAGTGTGTCAATCATGACACGCCCGCTCGTGCTGCTGTTGTCTGCATACGAGTACACAAACTCGCACTCCCCATCCGCGCCCTCCGCCCCGCCCTCCCCCGCACTCCCCTCCGCCGCCCCCCTGCCCAGGAGGCCTCCCAGCAGGCCGCCGGAGGAAGGGGCGGGGGGCGGGGCGGGGGGAGCGTCGAAGCGGTTGCAGCCGAAGGTGTAGTCGGCGAGGCAGAGAGGGCTGCTGCAGGGCACCACGGACGAGTTGGGTGACTTGGAGGAGTCATACGCTGCCGCCTGGGGGGAGGGGGACGCATGGGGGAAGGGGGATGCACAGGGGAAGGGGGAGCACAGGGGGGAGAGGGGACGGGAGCAGAAATGAGGGTGAGCGGTGGTGGAGAGGTGAGTGAGTGTGAGGCAAGGGTGCATGGAGTGGTGGCGCATGGCAGGGAGACTTGGCAGAGAAACAGACGGAATTTAATGAGTGAGGGAGCGAAGCGGGGAGGAGAGGAGCAACGGGAGGGGGAGCAGGATGGGGGTGTGGGTGAGTGCAGGGTGCAGAGGCATGTACATGGCACATGGCACATGGCACATGCATGTGACAGAGCAAATTACAACGCATCCACATACGAATGCTGCCCGTGTCCCATTCCCCTCTACCCGCACATCCCGCCCACTCCCCCCAAACCCCTTCGTTCGCCGCCTCCGCCCTCCCCCTTCCCGCCCCCCAGACACCCCCCATGAGCGCGTGTCCCATTCCCCCCATGCGCGCATGGCCTACCGCGAGTGAGTCATCAGCAGCGCAGTCGATGCAGTCGCAAGGCAGCCACATGAGGGAGCTGCCCGTGTCCATCACCACCGCCACCTCCTGCCCCGGCGTGCCCACCGTTATGTTCAGGTAGTACGACCTGCGGGAGGGGGGGAGAGGGGGGCAGGCAGGGGGGGAAGGCAGGGGCGAAAGGCAGGGGGGGAGAGTGCATGTGGGAGAAGGGAGAGGAGAGCGTATGGGGAGGAAGAGCGGGGGTTGAAATTGGGCGGGGATAGTGCATGGGAGGAATGGCAAAGGAGGGCGCACTTGCGGTGGGAAACGGGGTAGGGGGCGCGTGGGGAAGCGGGGCAAGAGGCGGGTGGCGATGATGGAGGGAAAAACACCTCACCACAACCCCCGCCCTCCCTTATCTCCTTCCCCTTTTCTTTCCCCGCAGCTCACTTCTCTCCCCATGCATCCCCCATGCACCCCCCATGCACCCCCCATGCACCCTCTATGCACCCCTTCGCCCTGCGGTCCCCCCGCGCCCCCATGCGCGCAGCTCACCCGGTGGGCAGTGCCAGCCCCCACATGGCGTACGGCACCACGGACGTCCCGCTCCCCGCGCCCTCCGGCCCCAGCGGCGCCGCGCTCCCCGCGGTCCCCACGCCCTTTACGCCCGCCCCCGCGCCGTTGCTGCTGCTGGGGTCGCGCGCCGACTTCCCCACGTCCTTCGCGCTGCCGCTCTTCTCCGCCTTCTCCGCGCCCTTGCTGCTGCTTCCGCCTCCGCCCAGCCGGCGCCGCGCGGGACTACCCCCACCCGCAACGGCGGACGCGGCGGCGGAGGCGGCGGGCGCGTGCGCGGGGAGCAGGCGGCGGCGTGCCCTGTGCGACGCGTCGGCGTGGTAGAGGGCGGACTGATGGGGGGAAGGGGGGCGGGGAGGAGCGGAAGGGGAGGGATGGGGTGGACGGAAACAGGGAAGAGGAAGGGGGACGAGAGTGGGGGTGAGGGGAGAGGTGTGGGAAAAGGAGGAGGATAAGAGGATGATAGGAGCAGAGCCGCACACAGTCGCTGACGGCGGCGGGGAGAGTGGCGGAGGAAAGGCGCGATTGGGGCAAGCAAGGCACCTCTGAAGCAACCGCAGATTCATTTCGCATGCCCCTCGCTCACCCTCTCAGCTCCTCTGTTTAATCCACCCTTTCTCCCCACCCAATCCCCCCTCCCCCACCAACCACCTCCCTTTCCAACCTTGCCACACATTGGTGTTCCCCCCGCGCAATCAACCCCCCTTCGTCATGTCAGTTCCCCGCATCGCACCTGCCGCTCTATGCCCTCTCTCAGCGCGCGGTGACCCAGCCCATGCACCGCTGCGCGCCCGCTTCCGCCTCCACCTCCCCCCATCCACGGCGCTTGCCAGCGCCCCCCGGCCGGCGGCAGCATCTCGCGCACTGCGCGCCACGTGGCGACGGGCGAGGGCGCACGAGAACGGGTGGACTGCGCAGGAGAGTGCGGGGAAGAGGGGAGGCGGGAAGTGAGGGAGAGCAGGAGGAGGGGGGGAAATGGTACAGGATGGGGGCGAGAAGATGGGTATGCGGAAAGCAGGTGGAGGCACGAGGATGAACGTGAGAGAGAGCGATGGTGGGCCGACGCGGAGAGGTTACATGCTGAGTGCACGTGGGTGGGGCGAGGAGATGGCGGTGCAAGAAAGGACATGTACAAGGCTTAGAGGAAGGGGTGGACGAGGATAGGGCGAGAGGACGGGATGCAGCAGCTGGTGGGCAGTGAGTACGGCGATTGGAGACCGAGATTCGCGGAATGCCACCGGCGGGCGTGCGGCAGTCTATCCGTGGTAATTACTACTACTGATGGCGAGCATGCTTATAACGCGGATAAGATGGCATTCGCGATAAAAGGAGGCGTCTAAGAAGCAGGACGCGGCGGGAGCTCAAAAATCAGCGCACATGGCACGGCGAAGCGGGAACGCATGCGGCAGCGGAGAGCGGGGCAGTCGAGAGGCGATTTGTTGCCGAGTTATCTCGTCGGGAACGACTCTACTCGTAGAGGCATCCGAGCCGCCCCTAAATTGCAACGCCATCCGAGGAGTTGGGGGAGAAGCGGCATCCAGCACCACCCTGCCTCACGTCCGTACCGTTCCGCCGAATGCGGCGAGTGCCTGACAGGGTGGGGCAGGTGGGCGGACGGCGGGGAACTTACTTGGGACGTGGAAGCGAGAGGCGCGGTGGCGCAGAGTGAGAGGGAGAGGAGCAGACACGGCAGCACCAGGAGGGTGCGCCGAAACACTAGCGGAGGCCCCATTATAAGCACGTGATGACGTTGGCCCCAAACCAAAGTAGTGATATTCTTTCGTAGTCCAGTAAATGCTGCGACACCTATTGGCCTGTGGGATCGCGGCAAGTCATTCAACGAGGATCTGTCAGCGCGGTTATCGTGCCATTGAGCTGCTCTCGCGTACGTGTCTACGAGACTCGGCGCCTACGTGCTTCAAGAGAAGCCGTTGCGGCAAGGTAAAGTGGTACTACAGTAGTCAGAAAGTGAAACTCTCGGCACAGTGCCCAATGCAATTTAAGATTGGGTTCCTCCTATCCCCTGTCGTCTCGCAACATGCCTTCTTCTCCAGTCCCTCCAAACCATCCTCTAGACGTAACCAGAATCATGAGGCATTGTTCGAATCAATGGTTCAGGTGTGGAGAGTACATCATCGTGCCACTTCAAATCATGAAACTCGATCGAAAGTCGTTTGCGAAGTGGTGTATGAGGAAACCGAGCGTCACACGGGCTCGAGGATTAGGCTCCGAACACTTCGTTTCGGCCTCAGGAATAAAACCTGCTAGACGGGTCGGTGTTTTGCTCCAATCAAGGCTGGCGTGGAAGAAGTGACTGATGGCAGGCGAAGCTGGGCGATAGAGTTCGAGTCGTTGTCGGGTTTGTGGTCCACCGTGCAAGCACTCGCGACCTGCTAACGAGCATTCACGACACGTTACTAAAGTTTGCGAATTGCTTCCACGGACATCTCCGGCGCACCAGCTTGCCCTGACCGACTATCGTAGAATTTACTGCTGTCAGGCAGAAGGGAGGAAGGCGCTGCGCCACCTGCGCCAGCTGTTTCGCCACATTTCCCGGCCAGGTTTGTCAGGTAAAACCACGTTACAGTGGACATGCGTTAGGAAATAGTTTCTGCTGTGACCCTGTAAGCGTATGTTTTCCCGAATTCCCCACACATATCCAGAGTGTGGAAGCTCTCTTGTACCGTACGTACAATGATCTGCACTTTATTGGGTGCGGCTTTTACCACAGAAAGATCCGCAAATTTTGCAACTACGGTAACAGAATATGCTCTTCTTATATTGAATGCCCACTCAGGGCTAACGGCTTTCCAACTCAACAAAGATACAGTACGTAAACCTCATCATCACACAAAACCAAACAAAACCACGAAGCAAATCTACATGAGCTGTACATCCGCTTTAACCAAGGCTTGATGCACCGGCGCAAGCAGGCGAGCCACCTAACCCACTATTTCAAGCACCCCATGGTCCACAAGCACCTGCACAACACTGAGCATGCCAGCCGTGGCAGCAGCCGCAGGCCCCTCCCAGGCGGCAGAGAGGCGTTTGAGCAGTGGCCCCAGCGCAGTGCCTTTTTCCAGCTGCACCAGCTCCTCCAGTAGCTCCGCCCACTGCAACTCAAACTCCAACCGCCCCTCCCCACTCGCCCCCTCCTCCCCTTCCTCCTCATCTTCATCATCGTCCTCCTTGTCTTCTACGCACATGGCCACCTCCTCTGGATTGACTTGCGCTTGATCTGTCGTAGCAGCACCCTTCTCCGCCCCTGCTGACATCCTCGCTTCATCATCATCCTTCTCCTCCCCTTTCTCCATGCCTGAATCCTCCCCCTTGTTGTGCACCTCTCTTCTGTTATCCATCATATGGTATACCACCGCTACCCCATCCTCCACCACCAACCGACAGCCCCCCTCTACGCTCACCCTCACACGCGACTTCTTGTGCACCTTTCCCTCCTGCCCCTTGCCCGCTGCTCCCCCGCCCTTCCCACCTCCTCTACCCCCTCCCTCCTGGGCTTGCTGAGAGGCAGAGGGTGCAGAGGCGGAAAGAGTGGAAGCACGGAAGGGCGGGAGGCGAGAGCGGAGGAAGGCAGAGGCCATCTGGTCAGCGGCGGAGTCCCAGGGGCCGCACGCAGCCACCAGCTGCACTGCCTGCTGCATGCGCTGCAGGAACGCAGCACGCCGCAGATCCCCACCGGCCTCTGCCGCCCCTGCAGGTGCCGCCGCGAGGCTGGTGCCATCAGCGTGGGCTGGAGCATCGATGTCGCTGTTGCCGTTGCTGTGGGTGTGCTCGGGGGCGTCAGGGAGTGGCGGGGCGTGCATGACGCCCATGAAGTCAAACAGGTCCCGTGGCAGGCTGTGGCGCAGCAGCACGTGCTCCTCCGCTGCTACCTGCCGTGGGGAGGGGTTCAAGAGAGGGAGAGCGTGAGTGGAGATGCGCAAGCGGGGGAAGGAATGGCACGCACAAATTCGTGATGTGGAGCAGGCTGGGCCGGGAGTCATGGTGTTGGAGCAGGCTGGGCCGGGAGTACACCCGCGAGCAGAGGCCGTGCAGAGGCTGCTTGGCGCGAGAGGGCGTTCTGAGAGACGGAGCCCCGGCACAAGAGGCGAGAAGAGGGAGCGCTTGGGAACCTGCACGCTTCCAGCCACTGCTTTATTTCCTGTGCAACTCCATCCAACGGGGCTCTCTCTCACCTCTATGGCACGCGGCAGTGCGAGGTGCAGAAAGTCTGCCATTGTGTTGCGCTGTGCTGAGGGTGGAGAGCAATGGGAGGGAGAACACGATAGGGGCGACGTGTAACAAAAGGAAGAGGGGGGAAAATGGAAGCGTGTGAGGAAGAGGGAACGTGGAGCAAGGTGAG